TGACCCGGTAGGTGCAAGGGGTGTGTGTGTCTGGAGATGTGCCCATCTCCATCCCGGACAGTATTCCTTGGGGAGGGTTCCCCTTCCCCAGCTGGCCAAGAGGGTAGTTGGGAAGAAGCATGTGGAGAGGGAAGAGATGAGGCTGAGCTGAGGCTGAGGACACCCCGGGGCTGCCCCACGAGCCGCTGCCGCCGCAGCACGGTGGGCTCGCCCTGCCCGCCTGGGGTGGCTCCGTCGCCGGGCTGCGGCACGGCAGGCTGGCTCTCCCGGCCGGAGCCTCCTCTGCCCGAGCTGCAGCTGCCGGGACAGCGCCGGAGCCCGGCCGGGCACGGGGTGAGGTGCGGGGACGCGGGCGAGCACGGAGCGGGGCTGGGGGCGGCGGGCGGGGATGCTGAGGGAGAGAGGGGAGGGAGGGAGGGCGCAAGGAGGGCGGGCGGCGCCGGCCGGGGGTGGGGAGCGGGGCCGCTGTGGGGCCGGCGGAGCTCCCGCAGCGCCTCTGCCCGCCCCGCGGAGCCGAGCGGGGCTGAACGCCGGCCGGGAGCGCCGGAGGGCCGGAGCGGAGGGGAGGGCCGGGCCGGGCGGCACCGCGGCACTTGTGCCCGCCCCGTCCCCGGGGGGCAGCGCTGAAGGGAGGACGGACCGCGGCTCCCCCCGGCACCGCTGAGGGTCGGGACGGGCGGCGCGGGCAGCTGGGAAGGTGGGGATGTGGGGAGGGAGGTGGGAACGCGGGGAGGGAGGTGGGAACGCGGGGAGGGAGGTGCGGGGCCGGGCCGGGCTCCGCCTGAGGAGTTTGCCGGGACTTTGCCGGTCGAGCGCTCCTGAGCGGCAGAGATGCTCCCGGCTCCGGCGTGCGCGGTACCCGGGGTCGCTCAGTAACCGAGAGACTTCAGCGGCAGTCTGTAGTACGGGTTATTAACGCCTGTCTTTTTCTTTCTTTTTCTCTCTTTTTCTTTCCTTCTTTTTTATTTTTTTTTTCCTGTCTGGGAGGTTTTTCTTTTTTTTGCCAGCAGAAATATCCTGGGAGTAGAGGTGGGAGGTGAAAGTGTAAAGCAACTCGTAGAAAGTGGGTTTCTGAATTAGGGAGCGTCTCAAAACCAAGTTTGAGCCTCGGCGAGGGCGCTGGGAAGTCGGAAGGCTTCGGTGGTGGTTAGGTTAAAGCTTTGAAACGAGGAATTGTGAGAGGAGAATTGCTTGGAAGATGTTAGGACATTGTTTTGAAAATAAGCGTTTAACAGTGAGAAGAGAAATGGAGCGTGATTATAATCTCTGAGTGCTCCAGTTTGAGTAGTTCACTTTTTACTGTGGCTGGGCTGACATAATACTGTCATTCTAGGAGTGTGTTGCAAAAGCGTTTGTTTAACGTAGTTTAACCACCAGGATGGTTTGTATGGTTTCTCTTACTGCATGTACGTGAGTGTTATGTCTTTTATACGTTATTTGTTTATCTTACACATGCAGAGACCCTGGAGATCCTGTAGGCTATATTTGCATTCTATAATGCATGCAGATAATTGTTTTACCCCGTGACTGATGCGCTTACGATGTGATGCCGTATCACATCACACAGAAAACCGGAAAATTAGATTTGTACCACAGGCTAACATTATGGAATTTCTGCTTGAAACGCCATTTGAACCGTGGTATGCCTTTTACAGCGTTGTGTATATTTGTTTTTAATATTGCAGATGCCTTTTGATTGCAAGACTGCTGAAATGCTCTGAGGGCTGCGCCTCCTCTCCTAACCATGAACAGTTCAAAATCGCCAGGGCTGGCTGGATTTGGAGTCTTGAGAAACACAACCTGCCACACGGAGAAAAAAATTTCCGTCTTCTTTTCGATAATCTTCATGACGGTGGGAATTCTGTCCAACAGCCTTGCCATAGCAATTCTCCTGAAGGCATACCAGAGGTTTAGACAGAAATCAAAAGCCTCCTTTTTGCTTCTTGCCAGCGGCTTGGTCGTCACGGATCTCTTCGGCCACCTCATCAACGGAGCCATCGCAGTGTTTGTGTACGCGTCGGACAAAGACTGGATTCGGTTTAACCAGTACAACATCCTTTGCAGTGTTTTTGGCATCTGCATGGTTTTCTTTGGTCTGTGCCCTCTCTTCCTGGGCAGCGTGATGGCTGTTGAACGGTGCATTGGAGTCACCAAGCCAATATTTCACTCTACCAAAATGACTTCTAGACATGTGAAAATGATGTTGACTATGGTATGTCTGTTTGCTGTTCTTATAGCTTTGCTGCCTATTCTTAGGTTTAGAGCCTACCAAATTCAAGCATCGAGGACCTGGTGCTTCTATAAAACAGAACATGTTGAGGACTGGGAAGACAGATTTTATCTCTTACTTTTTTCTTGCCTTGGGTTACTGGCCCTTGCTATTTCATTCTTGTGCAATGCTGTCACAGGAATTACCCTCTTAAGGGTCAAATTTAAAAGTCAACAAAGACAAGGCAGATCTCATCATTTTGAAATGATCATTCAGCTCTTGGCTATAATGTGTGTTTCTTGCATTTGCTGGAGTCCATTCCTGGTAAGAGCCTAATGTGTTTGCCAATGTTTAATGCACATCACTGTATATAAAAGTTATACTTTTTTATCTCCAGGTTTTAAAGTGCTTTAGCTGTGGTAACAGCTCCATTTGCTCGGTGACATCAATTTTAGAGCATATTGTCCATAATGCATGCACCTGCGCATCTATAAAAAACTTGGTAATTATTCTCCACTTCTGAGCATAAACAAAATACACTGAGTTAGCTGAATATATAGGGACTGTGAGGACTGTGTTTCCAGTGCTGTGAAGCAGAATTGGTGGTAGCAGAATTGTGGCTAGAATAAATCTGAACACATACTGAGCTTGTCCACAAATGAGCTTGTCCAGAATCTTGAAGTGGGAAGGCTTTTTAGTCTGTACTGTGGTTCCTATAACTTTTTTTTATTTACGGCAGCCTGTTTGTTGTTATTTTCAGGGTTTACTGCTGCTTGTGAACTGTGTTATGGCAGATAACAGTTAATGGAGTGGAGGGCTTTGCTTTAGAGAGTCGTGTTGAGAAACAGTGGTTGGCAGTGGGTTAAAATCAACGTTTGGTTTAGCCCTCAGCAAGCTGGGCTTGTCGTCTGGACAGCTGCCTGGCAAAGCTGCTGTGTGCAGTTGGTGTGCTCTCTCTGCCATCCCAGTGTATCTTGGGATCTGCTGTCACTGCTGTGGCTCTCCCTAAGCGCTGCTCCTGTTAGGGTGTGCTCTGTTAGTGAGCAGAGCCTGGATTGTGATACAGGAAAGAACTTGACAGCTGTATTATATAAAGCTGCTATTAGCTGTAACTCTTTTTAGTGTAGTTAACCTGTCCGAAGAAAATGAGGTTTTTTTTTTTTTAAATACTGATATTAGCCTCGCTGCAGCAGTTGGATGTATCTGGCAGGTAGCATTTAACTAATCCAGTATCACAGACTTCAAGGGTGAAAGTCTGGATGTAAATGTCTGCCTCACTGAAACGCACAAACCCCCTTGCACTTCTGTTCAGATCACGGAGAATTTTTCTAGTCTCGCTCTGCAGCATAGTTTAAATTCACGTGGGCTCCTGCCAGTGTGGTGGCTGGAGTGTAGAGAGCATAAACAAACTTGTCAGGGCAGTATAGCAAGTGAACTTCCTTCCAGTTACTTCAGACACCTCCTGAAGTTTGTCTGGGACAAGCCACGGAGTGGTTTTCAAGGAGAGCGACTCAAGTGATGACTTTGCTTTCCATGAAAAAGCAGCATTATCCTCTGGTGACATTTATTTTCAGATATAATAACTGTTCTTAAAGGTAGGGTTTCATTTGGTTTTTAAAAACCCTTTTTAAATAAACACCTTTTCTAGTTCAAAAGAGGTGCTTCAGTTATTCAACATACGAAGGAACACTAAATTGCAACTACTGTGGTGTTTTTTTCCACGTTGGCAATTTTTTTTTGATGCCTTTCAATTTTTATTAATTGTTATATATATCAAATATATATAAAATTGTAACTTTTAAGTGAAATTTTTAATGAAAGCACAGCACTGCTTTTGTTAAAGCATTTAACTTCGTTTGAGCTGTAATTGAAGATGAATTATTATTCCAGGTGGAATTTTTTTTCAGTAATGCGGACAGATTTCTGTTAGAAAGGAAGAGTTAAAAAAAAAAAAGAAAAAAAAAAAGTTAGTGTAAGGTAGAATTTAGTTCCTGAAACAAAGTTTTAAGGAAGTGAGCAATTTGTGTTTTAGCCAGAGAGTTCAGTAGTCTGGGAAGTGCAGTGGGATGGGGTCCTTTGTAGGTATTTCCCTTGTTAGCTCTTAGGATCATAGAGTTTATACCAGTTAATTCATTTAATTGCCCAGTCTTTGTTTTGATAGCATTCTGTTCACTGAGTACAAACAGAATTATAAGTGTGGTGTTCATTCAGCAAGGTTTTCTGGCCTGCAGTGGAATAAAGCTTTGTCAGGAATTTACTGCTCGAGTGCTGCACTGAAGTGATCCAGGGTTTATCAAAGTGAATGATTCACGATGAATTGCTGATTCAAACGTACTTATCTGATAGATCTTCACCTCTCAGGGCCTTTAATTGGTGAAATGAATGGTTTGCCCTCTATAATAGGATCAACATGTACTGAAGTATTCCTTGACATACATATGAGCAGGTGTTCGTAGGTGAAATTACCTGGAAAAGGACCTAAACACATGCTTGCTGTTGAATCATTTGCTTCTTTAATTTTTTTCCTCAAAGCTCAATCTGGAAGTCAGTGTTAGTCTCTGAACTGTGAATTTTAGCTACGTTCACTATCCCAGAGAGGACACAGAACAAAATGTTTGGGAGAATCAGTTGCCTCAGTGTAAACCAAAGCAATTGGAAACCAAACAAACCTTTGGAAGAGAAAGTGGAGGGAGGCAGTGTGGTTTATGCCACATGTGGTTTGCAGATACAAGAGTTTGGACTCACTGTGTGATTTCCTGTCTGATGTGGGGGTTTGCTTTGTTTATTTTCCTTCTGTTTTCAATCTAGTCTGGTGTTACATCCACTGATGCATGTGCAGAATCCACCCAGTGCTGTAATCCAACCGTCACAGACTGACTTCACTATTAGATTTCCAATCATTTTCATGGTTTTTTTTTTCCAAGGGGAGTTAATATTCAGTCATTGCCACTCACCTGTGATAAAATCACTTTTAGTTGTGAGTCCCAAGGCCCTGGATTGTCCTTTCTTGTGTCTGGTGTGGAACTGAACTTGACTTCTGCATCTGCTCAGTGGTGTGTGTAAATGTGTGTGTAAATGCATAGATAGTTAACACTTAATATTATATATAATAATATCTAGTAGTGTAATCAATCACCACCTTTACCTTAAGATTACTGGAGATCTGTAGCGTTTTTCAGAAGCAGAGCCCGTGGTGTGGCTCATGTGGAGCTCTGCCTGGAGCTGTTGGACAGGGACTTCCTTCTGATATTTTTTTTTTTCTTTTGATTTCTTTCCCGAAGCTCCGTTTCGTTTGTTTCTCAAAAATGAGCAGCTTTTTCGAGTTTTCTGCCGCTGTGAGGGAATCTTTCCTTAATGAAGTTATGAGGAGGAGGGGGAACGTGGATCTCGTTTTGAGGAACTGAGAGCAGGAGGGTATTCACAAAAAAAAAAAAAAAAAAAAAAAAAAAAAAAAAAAAAAAAAAAAAAGGCAAAAAGTGAAATTCCTGAGTTTTATAATAATATACACAGTCAATGATTTGCAGAGGCACATTTGTTCTGACAGCCCAAATAGTTTAGCTTTGGGGAGGGTAATTGCAGGTAAATATATTCTGAAGATGTTAACATCAGCTTCTCTGCAGTGTCATCTTTTCTCATCCTTGCTAGAGCCTTAGCCCTTTGCTAGGGGTATGTGAATTTTGCTGGCTAAATTTGGTCCCTGGGGGCTGGATTCCCAAAGCAGATAGCTGGGCTGGAGCATTTTGTGACGAGCACCTCTGAGGAAATGGATTGTTATATAAAGCTGGTTTTTTGGCTGTGACTTGACATCTGGCCTGTCATGAAACGCCTTGGGTTTGGAGCTGTGTTTGTATGAGCAAATTCTGACTTCAGCACGTCATACTCTGTAGGGCTCAAGGGATAAACATGTTCGAAATTTTGTTGTTGGAGTAGCAAAGAGAACTGCCTGTAACTGTGGGCAGGAGGGATCTGTTGCAGAGGAATAGGAACAAATTGTGATACGGAGAAATTTCTAATCTTTCTCATGTGTGGGACACAGCAGTCTTAGCCTGAGAAAAATACTTTTACATTCACATTATTCATGTTAAGATCTTTTTCCATGCAGTTATCTGATTCATTTCATTCCAGTTTTACCTCCCCTATACAGCAAAAAATAGCCACTTTTTTTTTTTTTTTTTTTTTTTTTTTTTTTTTTTGGAAAGAGCTCGGCTGTTTATTTTATATGATTAAATCAACTCTTTATTTATTCAGTTGCATTTTTTTACCGCTTAGATTTAATTTCTATCAGTCCTGTGTGCTAAAACAGGGAGGCTCTCCTTGGAATACCCTCACCCCATCCCACCCTGGTTGCTCCACCAGCTGTTTTGGGTGCAGAGTCAGGCTCACAGTTCGTATGTGCTGATGGAGGTCACTTTGTGGCAGGTTTTACACCGAGGAAGTCCTTGTTGCATACATTGTAAGGTAATTTGGAGTACCAGGCAGTCTGTGTCCATCTCATTTGGGGGTTTTTGCATGTGTAGTCACGTCCACACATGCCCAGTGACGCTTTCCCAGGAGTTCATACCCCTGTTACCCTTGAGGTCTCTCCCTCCATTCTTGTTTTCCATCTTTTTTTTTTTTTTTAATAAGCTGGCAGTTTAAATTTCTGTTCTGCTACCTTATGCTCACATGTTTAGTGGGCATCATGTCTTAATAAAGGTTGTTGAGGCCCTCGTCACCTGCAGAGCACAGCCCCTCAGATCTCACTGATGGCTGCTCTGCAGAAGTGTGTTCTTGTCTTGAGGGTTCTCAGTCAAAGCTGCAGCCTCTGAGAGCTTGTTGTGCCTACCCATTTTCCGCAGGGAGAGTGATCTTTCCTTTTGAAAAAGAATAAATTAGGCTTTTGATTTCCAGCCATGTGTTTCTGGAGACTGAAGGAGGAGATACCCTTAAATGTGTTTAGCTAACCTTGCAGCTTTGAATGCTGTTTTAAGCTTTCAGAGGGAAAAAACAAGATTCAGATTTAAAGAAGATAATCAGTGATAATTACTAGGCTTGTGCTGGTTTTTGTGGTTGAATTCTTGCTGGAGGGGTTGTCTGCTGACACCCTACAAAGATGGGATGTGTTGGCTGATGTTTGTTGGGTCTGGGTGATGCGGGTCCTTGCTGGATGCTGTCACTGCATCTCTGAGGATGGGTACAAGCCCATCTCAGGGGCCCCCTGCTGCCACAGTGGTTTTAGTGAATGAACCAGTTTCTTAGGGAAAGGAAAAAAAGGTTTTTTTCCAGCAGCATACCTGCTAAATACACCTTTACTTCTAGCCCGAAGCACCAACACAGTAATGGTT